ATTACTGGGTATATACCCAAAGGATTATAAACCATCCTACTATAAAGACACATACACACCTATGTTTATTGCAACACTATTTACAATAGAAAAGTCATGGAATCAACCCAAATGCCCATCAGTGATACTGGATAAAGAAAATGTGGCACATATACACCATGGAATACTATCCAGCCATAAAAGGAATGAGATCATGTCCTTTACAGGGACATGGATGAAGCTGGAAGCCATCATCCTCAGCAAACTAACACAGGAACAGAAAACCAAATACCACATGTTCTCACTCATAAGTGGGAGTTGAACAATGAGAACACATGGACACAGAGAGGGGAACATCACACATCAAGGCCTGTTGAAGGGTGGTGGGGGAGGGGAGGGAACATAGAGGGCTGATCAATAAGTGCAGCAAACTACCACGGCACACCTGTACCTGTGTGACAAACCTGCACGTTCTGCACATGTATCCTGGAACTTAAAGTAAAATACTTTTTTTGTTTTTTTGAGACGGAGTCTTGCTCTGTCTCCAGGCTGGAGCACAGTGGCGCAATCTCAGCTCACTGCAACCTCCACCTCCCGGGTTCAAGCGATTCTTCCACCTCAGCCTCCCGAGTAGCTGGGACTACAGGTGTGTCCCAAACGCCCGGCAAATTTTTGTATTTTTAGTAGAGACAGGGTTTCACCATGTTGGCCAGGATGGTCTCAATCTCTCCTCGGCCTCCCAAAGTGCTGGGATTACAGGCATGAGCCACCACGCCCGGCCATAAAATACATTTTTAAAAATTGAAAAATTTTTAAAGTCTTCAGCTGAGCTACTGGTAGCCAAGCATTTACAATTGTCCCCCACCATTCCCCAACTCTGACCTGTCTTGATGCCCTCAACCCACTCTTGTGCGAAGGGGCTGGGTGACAGAAGAGTCACCTAGAACAAGAGAAGAGGAAAGTTCCACACATTGTATGACTGTGTTTAAAACTAGATCTAAGAGCCAGACTCAAAAGAATCTAATGCCGGGATGTCATGTCTCAGCCTGCACAAATTACGGAAACAAAAAAATATAGAGGTTGCCTGGGAGGGAGACCAGTGGAGCTTTATGACCTTTAGGATGGAGTACTCACAGGCTGCATCCAGCGCAGTGCAGGTGAGCTGTTCCTCCGATGAGCACAGGCTGCTCCTATAAGGCTGGTGGCAGTCAGACAGGTCATGTTCAGTCAAAGGAGTCAAATAACCTTCATCCAGTGAGTCCTCTGAGACATCGAGCTCTTCCACCTCTGGCAGCTGCCTGCTGAGCCTGAAGGGTGGAGAAGACTGAAGATAAACACTAGAGAGAACCAAAACCACAGAGCCCAGCTGGCTTTAAAGGGAGGGCTCCAGGAAAGGACAGAGAAAGGAAAGGGCAGGCCCCTCGGAGAAATAGAACTATCCTTCCCGCAATGGGGCAGAAGAGAGGGAGCAGCAGATGCTCGGTGCCCTGGGCAGACAATGAGCTGAGGATGAAGGAGATGGAACAATCCCTGTATGAAATGGCCATGGCACACAGTGCACATGGAGAGACATCATGGTGCATTCAGCACTTTTGCATAAATTGTGTTGAAAGCACCATGCAGTGGCCATGTGAACACGGGCTCTTGAGTCTTCCCAGAATCTCAGAGATATAATATCCTCAACAACTCTTTTTCTCAATGTCGTAGCATATTAACTTTTTCATTCACTTTCATGCTATCATTTGCTTGCACGCATGGTAATGCCAAGACATAGACATCAGATATGCATCTCCAATTCACATTAAGCAGTAAGAATAGAAAAGGGGACTGCAGAAAATATCTGTGACAGATCATCAGTTCAGCTGAGTCAACTGGAGACCGATTAGTACAATTGAGATGAATCAATAAGAGGGGATAATACAAATACAGCTATACAATGAAAACAGGCAATGCTAATCATATAAATCTTTCATGATTGGCTGAACAGATGGAACAAACATTTAGCACATTCTGTTTTTCCTGCATCTGGAGTCTCCAGATGTCCACACTGAATTAACTGTCTGCAATTCCTCAGAGTTACCAGGGGTATGATGGTCTTTCACCTCCTTTTGGTCATTTTTAAGTTCCATATAAATAGTTTCAGATAAGGAGAGACACATTAAGCAGATCCTACTACACCCATGCACAATCCACCGGTCAATGCTAACATAAAGACATCGGTCTCCTCAGTGTGAGAACGGGACACTGAAAGAAACATTTTGGGAGGCCTGAGGTCCTGTCATGATAGAAATGCCTTGGATTTCCCTGAGCTTAGAAGTAAAATCTCCCTATTCTCATAGATCATTATCTCAATATGATCTTTCCTGAGACTTTGCAAAAAGTCAAGCAATATTTTTCATACCAATTCAAAGCCAATGCCCTCAGATGTTTTCTAGAAAGGAAACTGCAATGTGTAGACTTCTCTCATCAAATACAGAGTTTTTCACAGTTTAGAGCATTTTAGACACTGAAATTGGAAAGATGGAAGGAACCTACAGACCCTCGAATCAAAATGAATCTCTGTGCTACACAGTAACATTGGCTATTTGTGGCATCTAGGAGTGACAGTGCTCAGTCTTGCTTCCAGAAACATACCAGCGAGGCAATGTCCTGCTTAGTTAAAACAAGCCAACATCGAAGACACAGAGAATGGAAACCTTGGTACCATCTTCCACAGAAAGGTAGACAAAGATGCCACTGGCCCTGGGTGGTCATAGAGCATCAAGGGACATGGTTAGGGAAAGAAATTTACAAGAAACACAATAATAGCTGGCAAGACAAATTTTATTCAAATTAAAACATCTCACACAGACACCTCTTGGAAATACGCTGCATAGGTTGGTGTGAATTTGTCCCATCTGTCTTGGATCCAGCATCCTGACAGTGGGCCCAGGATGATACAGGCATGGCCCAAGGTAAGGAAAAGAGCAAAGCTCACTGACCCAACCCACGTCGGTGTTTCAAATTCCACTCTAGAATCTGATTCCAAACAACACGTGTCTATAATTCCTGGGTACATTGATGACATCTCTTAGCCCACTCTGAGGCTGAGTATAAGGATTATGAGGTCTACCTGAGACATCATCTGGATGTTTACCACATTCACTGTGGAGCACTTCTCCCTCATCAGGAGCCAAGCGGACTTGCTGTTCCTCAAATGAATACAAGGTGCTTCTTTAAGGCAGATGGGAGCCAGACAGGTGGGCAGGATTTGAAGGAGTCAAAAAACATCCATCCCCATGATTTTCAGGAGACTTCCGGCCCTGCCACCTGTGGCAACTCCCTGCTGAGACTGGTGGGGAGGTAACACTGAAGGTCTAAGGTTGAGCCAAGGCGGTCAGGGACCACAGACACCTAGATGGATTTGACGGAAGGCATAAGGCAGCGGTTGCAGAAAACAAAGGGGCTGACCAAATAAAAGGTACAAATTCATGTCATCCCAGCACTTTGGGAGGCCAAGGTGGGCGGATCATGAGATCAGGACATTGAGACCATCCTGGCTAACACGGTGAAACCCCGTCTCTACTAAAAATACAAAAAATTAGCTGGGCATGGTGGCACGCGCCTGTAGTCCCAGCTACTCAGGAGGCTGAGGCAGGAAAATCACTTGAACCCAGGAGGTGGAGGTTACAGCGAGCCGAGATTGCACCACTGCGCTCCAGCCTGGGCAACAGAGCGAGACTCCACCTCAAAAAAAANAAAAAAAAAAAAAAAAAAAAGGTACACATTATTCTCTTCTTGGTGGGAAGACAGAGTGTGGCTGCCATCAGATGTTGGGAGAGAGAGAAAGATTGAGAGAGACAGAGATAGCTCATGTTCGGTGAATTGCCCAGATTAGAAATTCATGTGAAAAGAGAAACAAAACTCTCATATCTTGACATAATGTGGAGTTAGGTTGTGTTTTTTTTTTTAAGTTTCTTCTCTTGTGATCAAATACTTGCCAACATGCCAACACCAAACAGGTATCTCACCCTGGATTTAACCACATGGAAGAAGACCGGTGATATAAGGAAATCCATGAGTTTGGTGAGTTCACTTGGGTCAAATGATCGTAGGTTACTATGCTTGAGAGATTAAGCAACTGAAACCAGACTGAGGCAGGAGGATCACTGGAAGCAACGCTAGAGTTTGTCTGCCATGCTGGAAGTGGCATGCCAATCTATTGTTCTCTTTGGCTTTTGGCTTCACCCTCTATGGCATCTTTCCCTTTTCACTGGCTTCCTTGACCACTTCTGAAGAGGGCACTAGAAACTGCCTAAAAGAGCAACTATGCCTGCTTGTTGCCCATACAAAGTTGGGGGTCCAGCGTCTTTTAACATTTAGTCCCTTTTAATCCAGGTTAATGCCATTAGGATAGCTTCCTAAAGTGTACTGTGGGTTTTATGTATCTAATTGGAGTCTGTTCTATGTACCGAAAGCCTCACTCACAATTATTTTTGAGATTGCTCCCTATGGGTTTAATCACTGACATGCCAGGTGTGTCAGGCTGCATGAAACAACAATCTTATGATTCCTAGAAGAAACATAAGTTCCTAGGGACTACAGGCTCCTGCTGCCATGCCTGGTTAATTTTTCTACTTTTTTTGTTGTAGAGATGGGGTTCCACCATGTTGCCCAAGCTGGTCTCGAACTCCTGAGCTTAAGCGATCCACTTACCTCAGCCTCCCAAAGTGCAGGGATTACAGGTGTGAGCCATCACGCTTGGCCTAGAGTAATATTCTCTATTATCAAGGTAGAAGGTTCAACATATACTCATTAGGTCTACTTTACAGATACTGTTATTTAGATCACTTATATCCTTATATACATATTTTGTCTCCTTCACTTCAGTCTTGGATGAGAGAGTGGCGTGTTAAAGTTTTCTGTTATTTCAAGGTTTCATTTTTCCTCGCATAATTTGTTATGTAAATGTTACACGATTTGACAAGGCAGAGGTAGCACAACAGAAACAGTGAAAAAGGAGGGAAAGCTCTTCCGTTGCAGAGTTTCGCCATGGACCGGGGCCCCAAAAAGCACTTGAAGCGTGTTGCAGCGCTGAAGCATTGGATGCTCGACAAACTAATGGGTGTATTTGCACCTCGTCCATCGACAGGTCCTCACAGGCTGAGGGAATGTCTTCCCCTGACCGTCTTCCTCAGGAACAGACTCAAGTATGCGTTGACGGGAGATGAGGTAAAAAAAAGACATGTATGCAACGCTGCATCAGAATTGATGGCAAGGTTCGAGTGGACATCACATACCCTGTTGGATTGATGGATGTCATCAGCATCGAGAAGACAGGTGAGCATTTCCACCTGGTCTATGACACCAAGGGCCATTTTGCCGTTCATCACATCAGAGTGGAAGAGGCAGAGTACAAGTTGTGCAAAGTGAGGAAGATTACTATGGGGATAAAGGAAATCCCACACCTGGTGACTCATGATGCTTGAACCATCCGCTATCCAGATCCTGTCAAGGTGAACGATACTGTGCAGATTGATTTAGGGACTGGCAAGATAATCAACATTATCAAATTTGACATGGGCAATATGTGTATGGTGATTGGTGGAGCCAACTTCGGTCGTATTGGCGTGATCACCAGCAAGGAAAGACATCCTGGTTCTTTTGACGTGGTGCATGTGAAGGATGCCAAAGGCAACAACTTTGCCCCAAGGATTTCCAACATTTTTGTCATTGGCAGTGGCAATAAACCTTGGATTTCCCTGCCCAGGGGAAAGGGCGTCTGACTTACTATTGCTGAAGAGAGAGACAAGAGGCTGGTGACTAAATTGCAAACAGAGCAGTGACTAAATTGCAGTAGCAGCATATCTTTTTTTCTTTGCACAAATAAGCAGTAAATTCTTGTTTCCTAATGTGTTGTTTTTTTTTCCTTGTTGTGGTTAATAGTTGGGTTTGAATTTTGCTCATGATTTTGGCAAAAATAAACAGTGAATTCTTTTTTTATTCAAAAAAAAAGAAGAAAGAGGGAAAGGGGAAAGTACAAAGAGCTCTTTGCTGTACAGGAAGTAGGTGGGAGCCAAAGAACACCACTTAAAGTTGACAAACCAGATAACTGCAGCTGTCACACTCATAAGTAGTATATCTTCACTGTGAATTGTGGCTTTTAGCATTTTAATGTATCCTTCATTGTCTTGACTATTTTTTCCTCAATTCTACCTTGTTAGATACGGATATTGTAATCTTTGCCCTTTGTGGTCCTACTTGCCTGGTCTATTTTTGCCCATCTCTCTTTTTATTTTTAGCCTTTCTGAATCACTTATTTTAA